CAAACCCACCAGCCACTCCTCAGAAGGAAGATGGAGCAATCTACTTCCGTAGTGATACTGCCTCGGAAACCCAAGGAGGGGTTGCTATGAGTCGGGTCTGACTCAACGGCACATAACAACAACAACAATATATATATATGTATATATTTACATTTATATAAATTTATATGCCTTTATGAGCAGTCCTGGTGGTACAGTAGTTAAGGTATTTGGCTGCTAACTCAAAGGTTGGTGGTTTGAACCCCGGTGCCAATCTATACAACAAAGATGAGGTGGCATACTTCCATAAAGACCACTGTTTTGGAAACCCTATGGAGCAATTCTACTCTGTCCTATAGGGTCACTACGAGCTGGAATTGACTCTGTGGCAGTGGGTGGATATGCCTTTATAAATTAAAAACAAGATAAGACATGCTTTGGCTACAATTTGAAAAGAAGAAACAGGCAAATGATAACAAGAAATACCATATAACATGAATCCTAAGAAGCCCATTTTTAAAAATATATATATTTTTGCCATCCTTGATAATGAGATATGTCTTATAATCTACAGAGTCTTAGAATCAGTGAAATATAGATTTAGAAGACCTTACTGGAACAGTGGGACTGTCTTAGCTTTCTAGTGCTGCTCTACCAGAAATACCATATGTGGATGGCTTCAACAAACAAAGATTTATTCTCTTAGAATTTAGGAGGCTAGAAGTGCAAATTTAGAATGCTGGCTCTAGCGGAAGACTAGGTTAGAGATCTGAGTTCAGAGTATCGGCTTTAGGGGCTGAGTAGAGGCCCCTCAACCTTGGCCTTCAGCTCCGCCTTCCAGGCCCACTGGAACAAGCTGGAGGCTTCTCCTGACTCATGCAGCCACTGGTGCTGAGGCTGACAAATCCAAGATTGGTAGGCAACACAGCAGGCCACTGGTTCAAGTCCAGGAACTGGAGATGAAGACTGAACCAAATGCAGGATCCTCTCTATATACACTAGATGCAGGCCACACCCTGAAAGCAACTCTTCCTCAACTGATTAACTGCTCTTAGAAGATTCCATCATGGAAATGATTACACCACATCCAATATCATCATGGAGAATAACTACATCCAGCTGCCAAGCCACTCAAATCATGGCCCAGCCAAGTTGGGCTGACATAAGCAAGACCCAGAATTTTACCTACCACAGTGAAAAATCCAGATCTCATTGGCCTGAATCACAATGACCATAACAGAATCAAAGTGTCCCCTTTTCTAAGAAGACTTTAGGTCAAAATGACATTAGGCTTCAGGAGAACATTTATCCAATAAGCCATCATTGTTTCACTCATGCCATAATGTCTACAAGTGCCTTTATGCTTTCCCAAGTATTTTTTTTTTTCAGTGTATCACAATAAATAGTATAGCAGGATATGAAAACATATTTTACGTAGGTCTTATCACAATGTGAGACTCTAGGTGTACATGTTT